GTTTTGAGCTTATTACTATTTAAAAGTCCATTTTTGGGAGAATTTTTATATTCAGCATAAAAACCTAAAGTGTCTGTTGGATTATTATCATCCCAGTTTATACGTATAAATTTTGGCCATTCAAGATTATTGACCACTTCTTTAATTACTTCATAATTTGCTGGTTCGAGAGTGATTTGTCCATTTTCATTCTTTAATACTGCTTTTCCCTTTTCAGGAAATACTTCGATCTTTTTCAAATTGGATCCGTGTGCTACTGCACTTAGTGCTAAACTGCAATTTACAATATTCAAATTAAATTCTTTCGCCATACGTTGAAATCTTGTAGACTCAAAACTGCATGGTAATAAAATTTGTTTCGCAGTTTTAATCATTAATTCTAAAAAAAAAAAGATTGTATATTAATTAATTAATTTTTATTTAATTTTTTATTTAATTAATTATTTATTATATACATACCACTATTTCTTGATGTTTCGCATTTACTTTTTTTCTTTCTTCTTTTTTCTATGACGCTAGTTTCTTCATCCTCTATCCCATCAAATTCCGCCCTATCTATCTGGTCTGCCTCTTCAATATCTCCTCTATACATTTCATCGACTTCCTCTTCAGCTTCATAGTCCATCTTTCTTTTATACATTTCATCAACCTCCTCTTCGTAGTCATTCTCTATCATATTAGCATCCTCTTCTTTATCATTACTTTTTTTGCTGTCCTCCTTCTCTGAATTTTGATTATTATCATCACCTAAATTCTGCTCAATTTCATCTTTTTAACAACAAATGAATTAGTTATATTAGCAAATATAAACAGTATAGAATATTATATTAATTAATTTATACCTTCATTCAATAACACCTTTAGTTCATCAAATTTGACTTTATATTTGTCATTTCCTTGACTAGGCACTTCACTAACCTCAAGTACCATATCTAGTTTGTTAGCTGCCTCACTTTTAAGATCCATCATATCTTCACTTGATTCTACAATTTGAAAATTAAAAGATCTTTTGGTTTCATCCGAATACATAATTACGACCTCATCTCTCGTAAATCCAATTAGCTGAATTTGTTCATCTGAATGGTACAAGAACAGTAAGTATATATATCGCATTATATTACTATTATAGCATGCTAAAAAAAAAATTTAAAAAAATAATTAATTATAATAATTAAATTAAAATAAAACACTAAATAATTTAACAAAAACCGAATTCGGTTCTTGCTAAAAAAAAAAAATTACCCATAATTTTTTTGTTTACGATTTATAACAAAAGTAAGAAGAAAGAGTATGAATTTATATATATATATAAAAAAGAATTAATAAGAATAAATACGTATTAAAATGAGGTAAGATTTAAAGAAATTGACTGATAAAAGTATATAACTATGTGTTATATTTATGCATGTTTTAAACTTAGGCTTTATACTACATATACAATTCTTAATATCGTAACTATATTAATTGTATAAAAAAGTTTAATTAAAAATTTTGTGTAATTATATATTTGTAATTATATGTATCGGGTATATTTGTATAATTATATTTGTGTAATTGAAGCTTCTTACAGATTACGTATTAACAAAAAACGAATTCGTTTTTTGTTAAAATTAGTAAATTACTGATTATTTAATTTTTTTGAATTTTAACAAAAAACGAATTCGTTTTTTGTTAAAATTCAAAAAATTAAATTAATACTTTTAATCAAAATGACAAAAAACGAATTCGTTTTTTGTTAAATTAATTAAAATAAAAAATATAAGACAAGTAGGCATATGAAGGGTTTAACTTAAATACAATATATA